TATACCTTCAATCATTGAACGCCTTCGATTATTATTACACGTAAAGACATACCATACATGTCGTACTGGTAATTGCAAATATAATTATAAAGCCTAGTACAAGTTTGCTATAAAAAAAAAAATAAAATACACAGTTCCGTGAAGAATTTCTGGGGATCATTATTCGTGCAAACCCAATGCATTATAATATTATATATATATATTATTATCATATCATAACATCGTGTAGAGGTATATTATAGGCACCGCAAACGACAGATGGAAAACGGCGTCAACGCTTTTCTTGTACGGCTGTATATTATTATTATGCCATCACGGATGTAATAAGTCACCAGGACGATCAATGTTTAAACCATCGGTATGAGGTACTTTTATATAATATAGATACACATATACGTGTTCACCTATATATAAATACTAAGCGTACCTTTCTTTATACTATTTATATATAGAGGCGATAAAAACGTTTTGCAGCCAATTGTCGCAAATCCCCGAATAATCCCTCTCGGAAATATAAATTGAAAAACTACACCCGCGCGTACGTATATTATGCGTATGATGCATATATATACGCGTGTCTGCCGTCTCGACATATAGTTTTCGCGGGAGTTGTAGGACGAGAGGCACACATATTCGGAAACCTCTACACATATATAGCCACATAATATATACTTGCATAAATCATAGCAGCCGAGTCTCCAGGGAACGTACACGCTGGGGGTCGGCGGCGGTGGAAGAGACATCATTTACTTGACACTGACCTCATATATATAAACGTATTTACACCGCGCGCTCTCGTTTCTCCAACATTGGCTGCTTCTGTTGTTGCTACGCTGTCACGGTCGCCCCACGAGGGTAATTTTAATCTGTCAAATATAAAAGAATAGTCGGAGGACGAGGATATATGTGGGGAGTTGGACAGAAACGACGAGTCTGCAACAGTATATACTATAATATAATATAGTATATACTATATAATATTATACGTCACCTACCCTAGAAATAAACGAGTTTAAACTGAGCAAGCAACGTGTCTCATTCTCGCAAAACACAATAATCATAATATATTATAGCTACGATAAAAAAACGTCCCTTTGAACTGCATATAAAATAACTTCAGCTGGAGGTGCTGATGAACCGACTCGTTGGTGAATCTTTCTCCCTCTGCAGCGTGCGTATGAGACGATTATACTTTTTAGCAGCCGTCGTCACCGTCGTTAGAAGAGAAAGATAGAGAAGAGGGAGAGAAAAGACAGAAATAAAAAGTGTATATTTGAATTTATTACTTTCGCATAACGCCACAACTTTACTAATGCCTATATATTCTTCGGTCTACTGTCGACAGCGAGGTTAAAGGATGCGCGAGAGAGCAAAGAAAAACGGAATTTAATTTACCGACTCTGTTCCCTTGACTTACGTCTGTACCGACTTTGTACATAATAATAATACGTTAATATCTCGTATGTACCTTTATACAATTTATATTTATGATAAAAATAATAATAATACATTATACGAAAAGATATAATATACATCCGCCTCTATACTGCACACTGTGCATTATTACTATTTTGCTGTGTTTAATAAATTTTACTTACCGCCACTGTCATACAAAGTATAACGTTATATTAGATAATATATATAAACATATATAACAGTTTTTCTTATAACTAAAATTCATCAAAAATATATACATTTATATTATGAATACGTGAAAAAGTACATATTAATCTGTTTCGATTTATTTTATTTTGTTAATAGTCTAACATTGATAACACGCTCTTCGAAGTGACATCTATTAAAAAAGTATCAAATATATTTGATATTTTAATTTCAGATTCAGAACGAAGCGATAAGTATGTTATGTTTTTTTTTTTTTTTTTTAATGTATGTGTACACGATAAATAGTAAATAAAATGCTATGCTTTTCAACTTTGACGGTGGTTTTAAATAGAAAATTGGATTTAGTTTGTACTATAATGAGGTCAAAATTAAAAATTCCCTATATTTTTTTTTATGATTAGGAAAACGAGAAAAAATGAGAATTTTTATGATAAACTATAGTTGTCAACTAAATTAATTTCTTTATTTTGTTTATTTTGTTATAGTTAAAAAACTAATGACAACAAAAACTTGAAATTTTCACCAAGTGTTTATATTATAATCATATTCTATTTATGATATAATTTAGAAAATGGATTTTTTTCAAGCTAACTTTAGAAAAATTAAATTTTTGATTTAATTTCGGTTTTTTTTTTATAAATATCAATAAAAAAAATAATGAATGATAAAAAATGCTTTAAAATTTAATACAAAGTTCTTAACAATTGGTTTATTTTCTAATTAAAAAATATTCAATTTAAATATTTAATATTTTTATAAGCTTTAAATTTAGAATTTAACGAAATTCGAAAATTACAAAATATACTTTTGTAGCTAAAAATTCATTACAATTTTTCTGTTTATACCTAAAACTTAAAAATTTAATACAAATTTTTTTTATACGTTTAGCAAATTATATTAAAAAAAAAATTTTTACCAAAAGATCAAATACATTTTTTATGAATGTTTAAATTTAATATTTATACGAAGAATTTCACTAAATATAATAACGGGTTTTCTTCCCAAATGGTTTTTGTTTTTTTTATTATAATTCAAAACGAATAAGCATAGATACGTACTTGAAATTTTTACAACTATTTTTTATTGACATTTTAAGTTCAAATTTGGGTAAATCACTTATTTAAACAATAAATAATGATAACAATTATTTTGTTATTATTTAAAAATATTATTCATGGAAACTTTGCGTATACTATATTATTATAAATTTTACTGTATGCATTGACTTTTTTAATTTTTTTAAGGATAACATCTATTTATATCATGAATGCATTTTTGCTGTTTACGATATTTATAGAAAGATATTATTAAATTCTGATCTGTATAGATTAATTAAATGTCGTATAAATATGTATTATATTAATATATAAATATTAATAATATAATAAATACGATATTTACGGAAAAATATATCAATTTTTATAATACTAAAGGTAAAATATATGATAATATTTATAAGTATCGAAAATAAAATCGTGAAATATATTAGTGATATAAGCTGACAATGTGTTTCTATTCAGAATTATTTTTCGTATATAATGATTATACATCATTGAATTTAAATTAATTTTACCCATAATAGTAACCCGCTCGACACCTACTATGTTCAGCAGAGTGGTAACCATTTGCCATCCTTTTTATTGTTTTGATTCCTTGTGATACTTGATTTTTATTATAGTTTTAATCATGTTTTTCTTATTTCTTATCTAAATTTTTGTGTAAATTATATGCATCATATATTATATACCTTTAAAATATAAACATGGTTATAGTATTTAATGTGTATATATATTGATGAAAACTGGCTTTATAACTTCATCCAAGTCTCTTCTCGCCTGAGGGTAACGCGCCAATATTCCACGTCTGCCACAGACTCCCCTGCGCAGGACTCTCGTATACTCTTCAGACTGTAATTTTCAACCCTTTGTGCATAATATTCCCATCATATATCAGCTGCATAGTTCCAAATATTTAACCAGAAAACTCTATAATGTATAATATATACGTAATACAATATAACAACTTTTATTAACGCCAATTACGTTTTTGTTGTTTAAGAAAAATCTTGTAAAACTCATGTAAAATCTATATTATTTTACACCAATATGTAAGATGAAAAAGTTATACGAAAGGTGATATTGTAGTTTAATAATTCTATAATATTGTTATTTATACTGTCGCTTTGAAAATATACACACCGCTTATTGCATAAAGATGTTTGGCGAAAAAATTATAAAAAATTCGTCAATAAACCAGGGAATTATTCACCAAGTCATTAATATAAGATTATCACTTATTTTCATTATAAAATCATAATAATAATATTTTGGTTGGTAAATTGTAAATACATAAAACATTTCGATAATATGATGACATATCGATGAAATAATATTACCTATTCTGAAGCTATGTTTGATAAAACTTTATACCTTATTATAATATAAAGCATTATTAAAAATAAATAATTATTTTTATAAATAATCAAATCAACGAGTATATAATTTAAAACAAACATCGTAAGCGTGTAAGTTGGAATCAACGTCGACAGCCTATTTGCTATGGATATATTATATTATTAAATATACTTAGGTACAAGCTATTGTTTGCGCGCCTTACGCGGGACGGTCGCTGTGTCTTGGTCTCCTGAATACATTTATAATGTGTGTGTGTGTATGTGTGACAGGTGATACTCGTGATATCGAATTATTATTATTTAACGATGATGATTTTCGAAAACGAATAATCGTATTGAATAGTTATGGCGACGGAACAGTCCCTATATATATATAAAAAATATAGTGGTAGATAGGTACACATGAAAAAAGGGGCACAATAGGTTCCCTAAACACATACCAAATGACAATGACCCATCATCTTAGTCTCGGTCTGTTATTACGACATTAAGGGCCGGTATAAGAGGGCCGTTTCGTCATTATTATTATTATTTTTCACACCTATTCCAAAACCGATCTACCGTGTACACACATGTATATCTATCTATAACCATATGTGTGTATGTACTACAATGACTTCGGGAGACTTCATTAAACGACAGATTGACGTTTGGAACAATAAGGGAGAAACGGATAGAAAGAAAATAATATAATGATAATACGCTAGCGAAGAAACTCAGTTTGTTTTTCGATTCTTTTGTTATTTTGGTGGTAGTATATAGCTAGTATACATAGTTATACGTAGATATGTTATATAAAAAAAAACGAATCACCGTATCTAATACATTTGCTCTCACGGTATGTGAGCTTGTGAGCCAAAGTTATAAAATGATTCATATAATATTTCGTATTGTGCACGCGTGTGTTTGTGTTTATGTGTTATTTTTATTATGACAAAAAAATTATCAATTTACTGTTTTGCAGGCCATCAGATGTACGGTACCAGGATGTGTGTGCGATTGTTTTACGCCTGGCAAACTTCACATACGATTCTGCGACGCATGCGGTCACGGATGGGTCCCACACGGTAAGTGAACCATTTAGTATTTTTTTTTAAGAAATCTCATTATAATAAAAAGTTCTTCTATAATATTACTTCTATAATCTCTTTCAAACACCATCACGTCGTACAAATTGCTATGGCCTAGACTTAGGTCAAACCGATAATGGTCGTTATGAACTTATATCTTATATATATGGACACGTTTTCCTCCTACATATCCCATAGCTCTTTTCGTAGATCTAAGACCCCTTTTGTTATTATTATTATATTTTTTAGGGTTGCGGAAGTCTCCGCGGGGCTGGTAATATATTTCCTAACACCCTTTGCACTCGTTGTTCTCTTCTTTTTATTTTTGCTTTTTTTTTCTTTGCTTTATGACTAAAACCATGTACGCTTCTGTTTAATAAAACATGCAGTTTAGTTTATATGGCGGGCGGTGGGGACAGGCCGAGTTCCCTGGAGACGAAGCGAAAATCGATTTGGCCAAAGTCGACCCATCCGCCAGCCCCCAAAATTTTACTCTCGGCATTTAGAGCCTATATACCAGCATAAATGAACGGCGGCAAAGAAAGAGAGAGAAAGAGAGAGAGAGAGAATGAAAGTGACCTGAATCTGAAATCAATTGTTTTTTTTTTCCACGGTTTATTTTTTTTTTTTTGTTTACTTATATACTATATATGCAAAACATACGATGTTTCTGTAGTGTTTTATATGCGTATTATGTATATTATATACCCCGTTGCTCTGCAGTGTTGTGTCAAAAATACAACAGCGGCGACGATCGTGAGAGAAATGGCTTAAGGGTGTACGCAATTAACCAAATGGAAAACTATAATACAAACAGTCGATTCCCCACAGTGCAATATTATCTATCACTATCAGGCGGTCCGGTACCGGTATGGAAATGAGCACATCGTCGGTCGGTCTGCGTATAGTACCGTTGTTAGCATAACGTTTTCTTGGGTCCGTATAAAAACCGCATAAATATACTTAGTGTTTTTTATGCTCGAACATTTTCTGACCCGCCATCGCGTAACTGTGCCATAAACCCTTACATATTACATGTACAACAAACGTCCAAAAGTTACAAAAGGCGTAAAAAATATAAGGAAAATAGGGAAATAATATATATATATATACCATTATACATATGTAAATGTAAATGAATTGTACCTGTGTTCGCTATATGCAATATATAAACGCGCTTGTACAATGTATATTATACATATTATACGAAATAGCGTACATACGTAGGTACATATATACGTGCGTAATAAATAAATCGCCATCTAAGGGGCTATAGGTTATATCATATACCTGATATACTGTGTTTGAGATATATATATATTTACAGCCGTATAGGTTTTCCACGCCAAATGCCAATTGAATATGTAACACACACTCCAGCAAACAAATGTCGGTCGACTTGGGCGCAGCGGTATCCGCGCATATTAAACGAAGTACGATGTTAGGTTATACCTATATATATACTATGTATACAGTCAAACGACTTTCCGCGCAATCGGCAGAGATTGATTACATGCAATCGAACCAATATACGTGTTTATATTATTGTAAAGGGGACATCCGCCACCACCACCACCACCGCCGCCGAGGGAATGACATTTTGAAAATTTAATACGGTATACCTATCCGTCAAGTCAAAATAAGATTGACAATATAATATAGTCGGTGTGTATATAATAAAGTTTCGACAGATTAAAAACGCGTTTACAGTAGGTATGCGCCGGTGTTCTGGGTAATGTTTATTTATATATATTATTCAGACGGCTGTCAGCTGTTATATTATTTTATGTATCACTCACATATAATATGAAATACTATAACGGGACATAATAAGCTTCTTGAGAAATTTTCACAGATTTACCGTGGGTCAGATAGTTATTTTTTTCGAAACATCAATTTCGTACAGTTCAATTATCTATACTGTTGTGCGTTGTACCGTATTAACATATAGATATATATTATATATATATTACTAATATAATATTAGTTTATTTAGTACTCATAGTATTCTGTTCTCGCCGCGTATATCTTACCTGTATACATAATATTTAACTATTTTAACATTATAACATAAGCTTGTCACGTGCGGAAGACTTATAGCTGTTGTAGGTGTGGTTAACTCTCGTAAATTGCATATACGATGGACAACGTAGGTACCTCCTATATTACCTAAATTATTTTTATTTTCTCTGCTTGTGAAGTTTCGCGTTTTATTTTGTAGCGGTGAGGTTGACTGACTCGGTTCGTCACTTAACCATGACGACGACGAATCTCGTCCGAACAAAAGAAATTGGCCACACGCGCACCATGGCGTTGTATAATTATTACATTATTGTTGTATATACGACCGCGATCACAGCTATGAGAAAATCGCTTCATATTTCGTTTTTTTCCCTATTAATTAAAACTCCCATCCACCCGTGTAAAAAAATAAAATGTTAAAATCTCGCAACTGAACGCAGCTACTCTCTCGACCAAACCTGACGACAAATTAAATCGTATATATAAATATATATCCTATAAGAGTTATACATTTTCATAATATATATGTGTTTACACACCACCAATTTAACCATATATTATATTATTTATAATGAAATGATACTAATAATAATTATAATAATATTAGATTAACACCATATGATAATCAACCGTATAGTATATCGAGAAAGCTGAAAAAGCAGTTAGTAACTCCAACGGATACCCAATCAACATATATGTAAAAGATACCATCTAAATCTCCTTATTGTTTACCAGGACCAGAATACCGAAATGCGTGTAAATGTGTGTAATTATATTTTGCGCTCACAACCCTTGCTGTAGCAGAATATTACACACTACAGTACGTTCGAATGACAAAGTGATTTCCACGCCCTTCGATTTATATTTTAAATACGACGTCGGTGGCATATTATAAACCATATATATATATATATTATATACATATATACATACACTCTGAACGCACAACTACGCACCTCATCGTAATCGTATATATATATACAGCCTGGCCCTGTCGATGACGTACCTCTAGAAGCCCCGTGATTAATGGTAGGTTACCCCGTTCCTTGTATATACATAACCCCTTCGATCTCTCTCACTTCCTCTCACACTGTTTGCATCTCCTTTTCTCCTCCACTCTACCTCTCTGTGCCAAATGCCGATTCTGTCGATTAATTATATACGTTCCTAACTGGACGCACACAACCATAATGTATTACGAAAAGCTGCCGCCGCCGTGGTATACAATACGCAATATATAATATATATATTATAGCTACTACGCGGCAATGACCCCATGAAAGAGAAGGGTTTGCAGCGGATGCGGGAAGTGGTGAGTGAAAAAAGATTCAATTAACGTCCGGCCGGGATGATGGCTGACGGGGTGGTTAGAGAAAATGTATGAGAGAAAACACGGTGAATCTGGCCAAAAAGTATACTGCGTATAGAAAATGCCTTGTTTGCTTCTGTACTTACATATATACGTTATAACTAATGATAATATATTATAGATTACAATATTATTTATGTTCTATTATGGCATTATGTTTTGTACCTATTTTATAAAAGATCATATTTTAATAACTCAATTATATTCACGTCGACGATAATATAGTACATATATATATTCATCGTCGTCGTCGCCATCATCGTCGTTATCGTCGTCAAATATTAGCTTTTCCCATAATAATTCTCGGCAGATATTATTATTATCATAAGCTACTTGCACTCTCTGTCCTAACCGTCTATATACATAACAAACATACCGAACCGGGAGGACGACGCGTTCTCTGTTGATTTTACGTCAGCGTCTCGTTTCTTGTTGTGTTTACGTTATAATTGCACGGCTTTTGTTGTTAAACATTTTCCCTACCATCACCGTCGACTTTTGCTGTTTGAAACTTTCGAGTCTTCGTCCCATTGTAGATTCACTCAGCCACCACCTCGTCTCCATCATTACTAAAGCAAAATGCTATTTTCAGCAAATTATTGCATTTCCATAAAAATATTATATAATATAACGTATAAAATGCAATATATACGGATTTTGTGTTTTTCTTTCTTCATATTTTTTTCTATAAGCATGTTTTTTACTCCCTTATTCCCGTCGTCTTCGCCGTCTATATTTAATATGTATATTACATACGTCAATATTATTAACAAAAATTACGAAACAAATTTACACACGCACACTATCAAAAGTAAACATTAGTTTCACAGATTGTATCCGGTTTATTAATATTACAAACGACGATGAAGATGACCTTTGTTTTATGATATTGAGCGACTACAGCGCAATTTTAATATTATCAAACGAAAGTCCAACAGTCCGTTATTACTTATTTCACGTAATATACATCGTCAGTGTCAAAGTTATTGACATACAATGCAGAAATCGATAATCCACGAGAGCGTCTTGAGCGTGGTGTGGTTCCTATATGTATTTATAAATATATATATTATATTATTATAAATAGGTACGTGCATTAATGTACTATATTGCGATTGACGTAAATGTTAATATTATACATTACATACACAATATGCAGTATGCACATTTACTTTGTTTTAGCCGCGCGCGTTATTCACAATAAAAATCCAATTTATTTTCCTTAAATAAGTAGATACTACCTACGTAATTGATATTTGTAAATACCACACATTTTATTATATATTACATAATATTCCGACCCCAAATGGTCAGTATGGCGCATGACTCAGGCGGATTACGAGATCAATTTACGAGTTTCAAAGTGTATATTAATATGCGTACAATTGTACAAACATATATTACTATATTGTATGACGTAGAGTGTAATTCGTAACGACGTGCAATTTGATCGCACACAGTCCTAATCAGATAAGAATAAAGTATATTACAATAATAGATATCAACAATATTATAATATATGATAGAATTATGTTATACTTATATAACTGTTTTTTTTTTTTAATTTTGTTGACTCCAATGCGCTCACTATAATACTCAAACCTTT